ATGGAGTTTTATATTCCATTTAATAACAGTTGATCTTGTGTGCCAACCATTTACGGTAGATCGTAGGTAGCTACACTGCGTTTTTCACTTGTTAGTGTACTCTTAGGCAACTTATTTCGATGTGATACCGCTTATTACTAGAACAATAAAACAATGGGACCTCTAAATTAAGTTGTAAGAATTGTGAAGTGCCTGTTTGTAAAGTCAAGTAGTAAAAAAAGGTATCTATAGAGTTCAGAAACTCAATTATTTCTGCTGCTAATAAGTAAATTCCCTTAAAAAAACCATTCAAAAATAATTATTCTTCCCCTCCTTGGTGGGACCAAGATTATTCAGCAGCTTGTAGTAGAAGAAAAGAGGCTGAATTAATATACTCCCGTTCTATGACTGCAGAAAACTATCTCTATTCTACTTCTTTAAAAATACATGATAATTTTTTTACTAAATGCAGATGAAAGTCAATACGGTACTTATAACTAAAATACAATTTTTAAAATTTTTGTCTGTCTATTTGTCTGTTTGTTCCGGCTAATCTCCGAAACAGCTAGACCGATTTTGACGGGACTTTCGCTGGCAGATAGCTGATTTCATACGGAGTAACGTAGGCTACTTTTATTTTAGAAAAAGAATTTCGGTTCCGCGCAAAAACATAAAAACCCCAACACGCGAGCGAAGTCGCGCGGAGCAGCTAGTACTTATATATGTTTAGGCTTGACTTATTGGTGTGACGCTAATGTAGCGTCATGACATTGTCGAGGTGTTGCTCATGTCGACACGTTCATTTACTCCAGTCAAATAAGGTTTGAAATCAAAATTTTGGCACTCAACTTTGCGTTTTTGATATAATGTAGTTTTAATGATATAAAAACAATGTGGAAAGATTTTCGTGTCTGCAACCCACGGCAAAGGTTAGAAAAAATTTTTGCCAAAAGTGTTTTTTCGCAATCACTCGAAATCGGTAAAGATTAGACAAAAAAGTTCTGATAAAAATGTGTAGAGCTTAAAATTTTACATAAAAAGGTTGTGTGATTTTTTTCTCCGGTCACAATTAACCGACTTAGGGAGGTTTTAAGTTTAAGTGAGGAACGTAAATTTAAAAAAAAAAAAGAAAAATAACGTAAAATAAAAAAAATTCGTAGGTAGAAATATAAACGTATTTTAATTTTTTTTTAAATTGCTTCATACAATCTAATCTTTAATTTTAGAGATACAGGTTTCTTTTTATTGTTGAAAAAAATAAACGCGACAAGATTTCACAGCTGCTCTACTCATTAAAACTACATTATATCAAAAATGCGAATTTGAGTGTAAAATTTTCCCTTCACACCTTATTTGACTGAATTAATTTTTTTTTATATAATTAGACTGAAATGATAAAATAACTTACAGTCCATATAATGGGAAGTGGCTACTGCAGCCCATAGACACCTGCAGCCATCATCAAACGAAGAAGTTTATAAATGCGTTGTCATCTCTGAGGATTTAAATTGCTCAGTTCACGGACTGTAAATATATTAACCACTTTACACTCTTCAGAACGGAATACAGTAGAGAAAGCACTACTATTTGTTGTAAGAAGTAAGAAGGTGGTAGTAGTAGTATAGTAGCACGAATGGGTCGGCTCGACCAGGGAAGGACCACGCTCTCACAGAATACCAGCGTAGAATAGCAGCTTAATGTTGCTGTGTTTAGTATGGTGAGTGTAGAGAACCGGAGACCCTTTTTACTGGAAAAGAGGCATTCCGTCTTAATCCTCACGGGTGACAACGCATCTGTATTTTGATTCGCAAACGAGGATAGATGTAGATGTCTATGGGCCATAGCAAACGCTTACCATCAGGTGGAATGTGTGCTCGTTTGTCATCCTATCCTATAATAAAAACTTACCCAGATGGCAGGCAGAAAAATAGTCCTCTTGTAGTTCCGGTGATACTTTTTTTCCTTATTTGTAACAATATTTTCGTTTAGTAAGGAGTAGACTTTTTGAAAGAAGAGCGGGCAAACAAGCATGCGGTTCACTTGATAGTGTCTGAGATTAATTATATAGATATATATTTGCGATCACAGGTATCCCATTATCTTTACAACCTATCAGAGTCCACTGCTAAACATAGGCCTTCCCATAGATTACCTCATAAGGAGGATATCTGCCATAGTTGCCACGCTTGGTGAACGGGCTAGCCAGTGGGTGTCGCCTGTTACGACACCCACGGGACGATATTGGCCAGTGGATATTCTTACATGGCCAATGCACGATACGATATTCATTAATCTTTGAATTTTTTTTATTTATCACTTCTGTGGTAAATTTTGACACTGTTGCACGATGACAATGCGAGACTTGGATGTCGTAAATCAGACGTAATATATCGTGGTCGTGTCGCTCTAATAATAAAAAAATATTTTTAATATAAGCTTGACATAGAGTCGTCATGCGAAGCATATGCTGCACTAATATTGTACTGACCAATCATTAAACGGTATTTGCAATGGTAGCGGTGAAACAATCTTGCGGAAGCTTAGATAAATAGAAGTATGTAACTGATATCGGAGAACAGTTTGATTGTTGTTACATTGACAAAAACATGACATCGATGCGTAATGGATCTGCTACGCCATATTATTACGTGCGTATCGTAATAGTTGACAGAGGGAAATTGAAATAGGAGACGGACAACAAATATTTCTGATAACAACTGTAAATAATAAAAAAAATATGGTTACCAACCCGCCAGGTTAACGTGATTATTATGATAAATATTAACCACCCACTCCGAGACAACGTACAGTGGGCCTGTGTTCAGTAAATGGAATTTTGATTGCTTATAAAGATGAATGGATCCATTACTTAATCTTGTCCCATGGGTTTATTCTTCTTCTTAATCGACCTAAAATTCCACTACTAGATAGGTTTTTCCTATTGTAGGGAGGGTGTGATTTAATTGTTACACTTGGCTGGTGGATTGGCCATCGCAGTTGCAAATGTCTCATTTTGATCTCGTTTGATACTGCCGCCCGTCGTAGGTCAGGAGCATACCATAAAAAACATAGCGCTTAAATAAGTTTATAAGTTATGAGTTATGTCACATCTAAATAACAGAACGCAAACAGTTGTTATTAATGGATGCAGTTCTTCCGGATCTGTTAGTATCTATGGGTGTTCCTCAGGGCTCAGTTTTTGGTCCCTTTCTGTTCTTAGTTTATATTAATGACTTACCTTACTTGGTAGGGAATAACCATAATATAGTATTATTTGCTGATGATACTTCGTTGATTTTCCGACTAAAAAGGCAATTGTTGAAATATAACGAAGTGAATAATGCTATATCAAAAGTAGAGTACACTGGCTTAAAGTCAATAATTTGTTTTTAAACGGTAGTAAAACGGAATGCATTAAATTCACTACACCTAATATTAAAAAGGTGAATACCAGTGTGCTTTTAAATGCGGAGGAGCTAGGCCTTGTTGAATCCACTGTTTTTCTCGGTATTACAATTTACGCGAAGCTTCAATGGGGCCCTCATATATGTAAACTAGCTAGCAAACTTAGTTGTGCAGCATATGCTGTAAAAAAGATAAGATGCCTTACATGTGTTGAAACAGCTAGATTAGTTTATTTTAGTTATTTCCATAGCATAATGTCATATAGAATCTTGCTATGGGGTAATGCGACAGACATTGAAACTATTTTTGTTTTATCAAAGAGAGCCATAAGAGCAATTTATAACCTAGGTCAGAAGGAATCCCTTAGAGAAAATTTTAAAGTAATAAATATATTAACTTTTGCCTCTCAATATATTTACTGTATGTACACAATTGTTCTATTAAAAATAGTGATGTACATTCTGTAAATACTAGGAACAAAAACAAGTTAGTTATACTAGTGACTCGACTCCAAAGAGTCAGCAGTTCCATCATGAAGCAATGTTACGCTTTTACAACAAAGTCCCAGAGAATATGCAGACCTTTTATATCAAAAGGTTTAAATTATTTATTAAGCAAAAATTGTGTAGTAAGGGTTATTATACTACTAAAGAGTATATGACTGATAATAACCCCTGGGAATGAGGTGTTCGCTACCATGCTGTTTCTAAATGTTTTCATAACTATTGTATAAAATATTATATTGTAACTTGTCCTTTTTAAAAAAAAAGACCCTCAGGTTTTCTTGCTGGTTCTTCCAAGAACAGAGGTTTTTTTGCGAACCAGTGGTAACAGTAAAAAATGACTTTCAATAAGTATTTTGTACTGTAATCTATATTGAATAAAATTATTCTATTCTATTCTATTCTATTCTACCGCCATCTATCGGAAGCTATAAAAAATTCTGATATTTCCCACAGTTACCTTTTACGATATCCACAGCAAACAGGCACCCCTGAACTGGATTGGTATATCTTGGATGCCTCATAATATACAATTTGGTCACAGCAGATACGAAAACCTCGCACTGGTAAAGCTTCTCTTATCTTAGAATCCCATACGTCAACCACCAGGATAAGTACACCATTTACCTCTTATTATCCCTTCTCCTCTTACAAATGAGTAATATGTAATAATAAACGATATTCCGAATCTCTACCAACTCTCTTACTCTATTCGACTCTACCTCTGTACTCTACCATCAAAAATAAGTCTAAGTATGTTTATGCAATGTAAAGGACCACGCTCTCATAGAGTACCAGCGTAAAATGCATAACACCATATTGAGCTTTAAAATGGCTGACAATGCTGTAATGTTGTGCTTGCTAACAAGCCTTTAGTTGCTACTTATGAAAAAAAAAACATATTTCCAATTAAAACAGACGAGATCTTAACATTGTACGGCTTGGACCCTGGCATTAAAAGTCCTTCATGCCGCCATACCAAGTTGAGTGCGATAGTGCAAAAAGACACAATTAAGATAAATCTCGAAATTGCATTCCGTCAAGGCCACCTGCCTCTGTTGACGGTACAGGGAGTTGCGCCCGCGCATCGTATGCGTCGCAAAACAAAACGCCAGTCCACCACCGAGGCTTGACTAGTGAATACGTCCGCTCGCACTATCGCACGTATCGATAGAAGAGTGAAGCTGTCGCGATTATTTCGAATAAAAGAATTGTGTTGTGTACTTTTTTTTTTTTGAGAAAAACAGATATTTAGTGCTGTGACGCCTTGGGCAGGCGAGTTTCTTTTCTTGTAAAGGTTGGTTTATTTCATGATTCTTTTTTTAAACTAGGAATAAGAATTGTTTTCTCGTTTTATGAAAAAAAATCAAATAGAAATATTTAGTTTAGTTAGAATGAAAAGTGTTTTTAAAGTACGCAGTAGATGACTGTAGATGTATCAGCGCTTTATGTAATTTTAATCGACAATGTTATCAATAAGTGAAGTGCTTGCGTCAATAAATAATCCTTGGGCGGAGCAACCGATATTAGGTACCTATACGTTTCTTGTTCGATTGTCACCTTGCAATGTCGTTAACTAGTATTATTTTTGGTGCCATTTTATTTCGATGAATTTAATAAATTTGCAAATTTGTTACAAGTTCTTCTAAGTAAAAGTATAACAACGCTTTTTGCAAATTAATACGTTTTTTAACATAAAGTATTTTACTTTTATACTAAATATAATATGTTCATGCTTATGTATTGATTAATGCAATTAATTCCTCCTCGATTAAATCTATGTTATTTTATAAGAAATTCGGTATTAATTATTTCTTTGTCACATCGTTTTACCATAACATAAATATGTTGAGTGTAAAATAAAATAAGAAATAAAAGAAAATTATTGGAACCTGCTTTTTATATATTATACTAAATATTGAAAATATATAGAACTTTCAAGGAACGGAATTATGTGTCTTCTATAACATTAAACTTGGTATTCCAAAGGAAATATTAAGATTTCACAGCTGCTCTATTCTAAGGAAGGCCGCGCCACCTAAGCCGTCTGGGGGATATTTTTATTTTGGGACTTCGGTTTTGGTTAAAATCGAATGAGCTGTTCGTATTTAAAATGGATTTCTCTGAATATCACATTACTACAAGGTGATTTTCATCTTTTCTGTATTCCTTTTCGCTACGTTATTTATTTTCATAAAGTACAATACAATACAAAATACTTTTTTGTACAACAAGGAGAGATTTACATTACAAAGAAACATTGTTATAAATATTGAGGGGCAAACAGAAGACGGTGATAACACCGTCTTCTGTTTTAAACCGTCTTCTGTTTTAAAAAAAATGCTGTGTAGCATTATTGCTACACAGCATTTTTTTATAGAATAGGGTGTCAATTGCAAACGTGCACACAGGCCACATGATGATAAGTGGATGCCGTGGCCCATAGAAATCTACATCTATCCTCGATTAAGAATCAAAATGCTTTGGCACTACTTAGGACCAAGATGGAATGCCTCATTTCCAGTAAAAAGCTAAGAAGGGTCTTCGGTTTCTTTCTACAAATCAAACAATCTAATGAAAAGAGAAAGTAAAAGAAGTTAGAGTGACAATGGCCCTTAACTAGTTTCTTAAATAAATCTTAAGATTGAGTTGATTGAGCGCCTTAATCGAGAGGGGCATTTTCCACAACTTCACTCCTAGAGCAGAGAAAGATTTAATATAAAATACTGATGGATGCACAGAACATCACACTCAATTGCAACATAACATTTAATATTTTTAGAAAAATGTATGCTTTTTTTTATAGGATCAGGGTGACAAACGAGCACACAGTCCACCTGATGGTAAGTGGTTGTTGTGGCCCATATACATCTACATCTATCTTCGATTACGAATCAAAATGCAGATGCGTTGTCACCCGTGAGGACTAAGATGGAATGCCTTGTTTCCAGTAAAAGGGTCTCCGGTTCTCTACACTCACCATAAGAAACACAGCAGTGTTAAGCTGCTATTTTACGCTGGTATTCTGTGAGAGCATGGTCCTTTACCGGTCGAGCCGACCCATTCGTGCTACAACCATAATATAGCTGCAGTATGGCTCTACCACGTATATATGTTATTTTTTGTTTATTTGAAAACGTTACCTTTACATCGGAAATATTTTCTATACCTACTGTAGTAAACAGTGGAGACGTTTTTACAAAGCTTGTGAGAGGCGACAGCGTGAAACTTGAACAGGATATGAGCAGCGGCATCTTCCTATTAACAATTTAAAATAATAATGAACTGCGGTTGCAAACCCGCCGGCCAAGCGTGCCAACTGTATAAAATATCCCTCCTATGAGACTATCTATGGGGTGGCCTATGTTCAGCAGTCGATTTTGTTATGCTGTATGATATAATTATAGAACCCCCAGTTGCAAGATAATAATTTAAAAAAATACATGTTCCGTGACAGGATTGAATACGCGGTCCACAGCTTATCCTTTGCGCTAGTAGGTATCATAGAGATCGCTCTCTTTACAAGTCAAGTTTTAATTTTTAAACTTAAAATTAAAATGAGTGCTTTTAAGTAAAGAGAATTTTTTTCACTTAATGTTTTCTTATATTTACGCGAACACTACATATTGAATGAAGCTAGATTTTTTTACGGATTTTATCGCATTTTAATGAACTTATTTTATATTACCGGCGAATACCTCAGTTTTCATGACTTAACCATGGATTCTGCAAAGTAGGGACACATAGGGAATATATAATAATCTTTAAATGTTTTTAACTCATGCTTTATTGATGCTGGCCATTTCCTAATTTGTTTCCTTTTGACAACTTTTACGACTATAAAAAAATACTTCACTAATATCCGCTTTATAAAATAAAATTATGTGTTTTACCTAGTATGAAGAGCACCTCCCGCCCTCCCTCAATTGCGTGCACTATCCCCGTCAATAAAAAAAGGGCGGGAGGTGCTCTTCATACTAGGTAGGCTGTGGTTTGTATGATGAGTGTAGAGAACCGGAAGCCCTTTTTACTGGAAACGAGGCATTCTATCTTAGTCTTGACGGGTGACAACACATCCGCATTTTGATTCGTAACCGAGGATAAATATAGATGTCTATGTGCCACAGCAACCACTTACCATCAGGTGGACTGTGTGCTCGTTTGTCACACCTATCCCGTAAAAAATATGTGTATTAAGATATTTAAGGTATTCTTTAAAAATCCATGCCGCCCAGATAGCAAGCATTTGTTGAAAGCATGTTTCATGCATCTATTTTTATGAGAGTTCACTCATGATGAAACAATACTGTTGTCATTATCATTTTCATTAATCACTTCTCCATTGACGAGATAATTGGATGATAACTTATGTTTATTTGATACACTTAATTAAACGGAGCTGCTACAGATAATATAAAAATTGAGCATAATATCAATATAACAATATGTTGTTATTTCTTAATAAAAATAAAAATATACTTACCATGGTGTGGCGGTGTACAAATAATCAATATCCCATCTCATCCCGTGAATATCGTAACAGGTGATATTTGGAAGCTTAGCCAGGAGATGATGATTCCTAATAACTCTCAAAATTATAAAAAACTGTACCAAAATCTTCCCTTATGAAGAAATGTATCTTGTATGTTGTAAGCCTGTTTAGGAGTGGAATTTTGAATAGGCTGTAATGAAAATGGTAACTAAAAGTATATAATATGTAGAGCCGTGATTGCTCAGGGACTAAGTGCTCGTTGTAAATTTTACCCTATGCGAGTTACCAGGGTTCGATCCCCGCTGTCATCAATAAAATTGTAAATTGCAATTTTAAGTTCTGATGATTTCTTATATTTACGCGAACACTATACATTGAATAAAACTACTTTTACGGATTCTATTGCGTTTAATTTTCTGTTTTTTTTTTTTTTAAATTGATTTTTGACGTTTTGGGTGCTTTACAGCACCCGTGGTCACTTATACTCGTGGTAGCTTCAGCTTTTTTAATTATTATAGGTTGTCAATCGAAATTTTTTTTATTCAGCTTTTATCAGGAAGATGCTGCTACCCATTCCCTGTTAAAGTTTCCCTCTGTCGCTTACGACAGACACAGGACTATATGCGGTAGCGTGTATTCTTATACCGCCACTACATTGTTAAATTATTAGCATACAAATAATAACCAGAGTTTATTCGAATAATTATTTATTTCAATATTGTTTTGGCATCTGTATCGATCATACAGTATAACCAAATTCTAATTTCAAAAAAATATTCAATGTGCAGAAATAGTCGTGTTAGATTTTTAATATCTTTATATATAAAAATTACGTGTCACGTTGTTTGTCCGCGACAAACTCCCTAAACTACTGAACTGATTTCAATTAAATTTTGCACATTGTGTGCAGTTTGATCCAACTTGAGATATAGGATAGTTTTTATCACGATAAGTGACCCTTAATTTTTTTATTGCAAATTTCAGGAGTTTTTTTTAGGAAAGCAAATGGTCGTCGGAAAGGGCAGAGCAACGTCTGCCTGGCCAGTTAGTATAGTATAAATAAATTACAGACAGGTACTTCAATTTTATTTATATGAGTGCAAATTGTTATTTAAAATCGGTTTTAATTTTTTGAAAGTAAATAAACCTTTATCGGGTGTTTGTTTGCGAAAGACCCCGGATCCTTCGCACTGCAGCATAGTGTACTTGCAATCATATTATTGGTTTTATTTAGGGAAAGATTAGATAAGAACACTTCGATGTCGGTATCAGTACTTAATTTTTTGGCACAATTATAACTCCAGTGCAGTTGAAAGTTTCAGAAAGTATCCGGGAATTGTCGCCAGAACATCCTTGTTATAAGTTTTATATAGGGTTTGTTGACCACAAATCCTCGTGAAAGAATACCTATTCCTACTAAGAATGATTGGGGGTTTTATGAAATAAAAAAATAAAACTTTCTAATTTCAATAGAGCGGATGCCTAGTTGCCGCCATTTGTTTGAGATCTGCTAATTAATAAAATTAAATCCTAACCGAAGCATACTACTGTAAGACTTCAAAATACTGTAAGCTCATTGAAATTTAAAAGATAAAGATAGACTCCGTTAATTATGACATAAAGAAGTCAAACACCTCCGACCCCCCGTGACCATGGGCGCTGTAAAGCACTCGAAACGATGGGAATTAAAAACGTTATATTATCCTATAATTGACACACCATATATAAAATCCATAAACTTTAATATTTTCTATTATTTTTTCCACCTTTTTATTAAATCACTTTCTTGTTTGTCTGTCTGTCTG